CTGCCTCTGCTATATTGCAATGAAGATACATCTTTCATTTCCCTCATACTTTTTAAATACCAATATTATTTTTCTTTCATCTCATTTCTGCCTCAGGATGGCTGTCTTCTCTTGTCTACCATTAAGAAGTCCCGACCCTGGCTCTCAGAAGCCTGTTGCTGTATTCTCCTACTTCTAGAGAGACACAGCATGGCCCAGCAGTTTCCTGGACTGCCAAGGTCTCCCAGAGTCAATTTCAAATTGTCATTCCTGGGCAAAAGAGTGCTTCTGAGTATCATTTTTGAGGCCAGCATTGTCTTAAAAACTGCAGGGAGGTTGAGAAGAGTCTAATCTGCTCTTTGCTCTCAGAGTTTATAATTCTAGTTCAGGAGACAGGTGTAAATATAAAACGCAAGTGGAAAAATAATAAAGTTAAACATGAAGTCTAATGGGAACCAGGGAACTCCTGTGTGTCATGGATGTTATTTCCAGATGATGCCATGAGATTTGTTGTGTTTAGGTTCTGTGTCTGAAGGATCCAGCTGAGTAAAGGGGCGCTTTTCTTGGATTAGTTCACAGTAGCAAGGACTTCTTTCCTGGTGCATGCAGTTAATCTCCTCATTTATTTCTTCTTTCGTTGCTCGCTGGTGCTCTGTGAGTGAGGGATTCCGTTTGTATGAAAGATCTGCCACGGAAGAGTTGGCTGTGTGGTGCTTGGGCACCGGTGCTTGTCGGCATGGGTTCCAGCCTCTCCTCATATCCTACACTGTGAGGATGAATGAGTCACGCCTGAAATGCAGTGCTTTTCAATTGCAATTGTCTTTAAAAATCGGCCCAAGAACGGGCTCACATGCTCTGATTCAGCGAGGGCAAACCTCCTACTAATGTGGCGACGTCTTGTTTCTCTTGTCCCAGGGAGGCTTTCCCCAGACGGAGGCCAGAGCTGGGAGAGGCTAGAAACCCCCTGTGAAGCAGCAAAGGGTGCAGGTAAGAAGGGGAAGAGAACCCTTCTACCAAGTAACACGATGTGCGTGCCATCGATCGTCCCCTCCTGCAACTCTAGAGCAACTCGTACGCTCTTGGGAACTGAGGGAATCACCAGAGATCCCTATATTGGGCTTAGAACGAATTCCCATGGGCTAGAGAGGCCGAGCTGGCCCAAGGCATGGTGTGGGGGCTATTCGTCCTGAGTCCCTCTTTAGTGGACTTGGCCAACATGGTGTCACAACACCAGAACCTTTGAGGGACAGTTACTTGATATGAGACGTAAACAGGCAAGCCGGGCCACTAGGCCCTGGCTGCTGAGGACTATTAGAAAGGAGAGACTAGGCAGTCGGTTGAGTCAGGAAACTGATTTAATAGCATCCTGAGCAAGCTGGTGCACGTCTGTGTTGCAGGGACTGGCCCGTCCTCCCAGAAACGTTCTACGCGATGCTCCTGCCACTAGAGGGAATGGGAGCATCGTGTGGAATGGAGGGGACCAGGGTCCCGTGAACCAGTTCCTAAAGTGAGGGTGGCATGGAGGTCACCCCTTTTAGCACCTGTGGGCCTTAGTTTGATGTCTGCTGTGGGAACACTGGTTCAAGCTCTGTGTTTTCATGCACAAACATTTTCTCTTAGTCCCCTGCCTTAAGGAGTTCTGAGCACCTCATATTTAACAATTGAATAGGCTCCATAACGCAAACAAAAGCTCCCATCCTGAGAAAGGGGTAGGTCTGAGGTTAAACTCCCCAGTACCAAATACTCCTTTAATGATTGTTATTACAGTAACGTTAAGCAGATGTGACATTAAAAAAATGTGGGCAGGTTTCCCAACTTTTCATTTGACTTGAAAAGACTGATTTACTGCTGGGAAAACCTCTTTTCAGAGGGAAGCTTTGTGTGAGTTTCATTGGTTCCCTTGCCCGATGGCCTCGGGGAAGATGGGACCACCAGGATTACCAGCCCATCCTGCGTGACTTAGATGTGTTTCAATCCAAAGCACATTTGTCACCGGGTTGTCAGAACTCTACTGTGCCAGAGGTTAGTGAGCCCTGAATTAGGCTTCCAAAGACCACCACATCCTTATCTCTGCCGCCCCCACCCCAATCCACCTCCAGCTGAACACAGACCTCCACTCTAGGGTACAAACCAGGACCAGGACATATGCCAATTCTAGAATCAGAAGGATGAACTAGCATGTTCTTTCCCAGCCAGTGGTTCTTAAGCTTGAGTGTGCAAGAGAAGCACTTGGAATTGGTTTAGCCTGTGGAGGTGCTGGGATCCACCTCAGAGGCTCCGGCTCTCAGGGTCTCTGGACACTGTCTAGGCAGTGGCTTTCAAGCCTGGTGGCCTGCTAGAGCCTTTAAGCAAATGGATGTTGGGGCTCTATCTGAGTGAGAATAGAAGGGGAGGCAGGCCAAGGCCTTGGTCACTTTTACAAGCTTTGTGGTCACTTGGTTATGGAGCCAGGGGATTGAGGACCTGGTGGGAGCTATGACGTCTTAGGCAGGGACACAGCTAAGGGCTCTTTGGAAGTTGCTATTTGATAAAGCAGCTGTCGTCTAGCTTGACATGCTTATCTTCAGACAAACAAGGTATCCTGCTTCAACACGGCCACTGACTCTGCTAAAAATCCATGGCCCACGGCATGGAGGAGGATGGGGACCCCTGGATGCAGGGGCCAAAATTCGTGCGGCCGGGCATATGGCCTTTTTTGGAGGGAGACGGCTGTCAGACTTCACTAGCTTCACTTGCTTCCCCCAACACTCATTATTTTATTCATTCATTTATTTATTCATTCATGTCCTCGAGTCTTGGTCCTAGTCTGCTCCCCCAAAGGGTAACTGTTCTTATGGTTAAAGTACACTAAAAGGTATCTTTTCGTTTGACTATTTTTGCTTGTTTTGCATGCATATATTTATATTTTACACAAATTGTGGGTTCTTAGGGCTCCCCTTGTTAGCATGTGTACATTAACCCATGGCTCCCACTTGCTGCATCGACCCCATGGCAGCCCCCCCCCCCACCCCAGTTTCACCTCTCTACTTCCCCGGGATGGATGCCTGGAAGGCTTCCAGCTCTCTCTGGCCACAAACAGCTGTGGGCATCCTCATATATGTCTCCTTCTGAACCCTGAGAGATAAACCTGGATGTGGAATTGCTGGGTCACGGGGGTGCACAGACTTCTTTAGACGAAGAGGGCTGCAGGGTGCTCCAGTCGGTTGCTCCTGGTTACACTCTGATCACCTTCACTGCGTTCCCAGTGATCTAAGATCCCCACCCAACCCCCCACCAAGTGGAGAAGCTGTCGGTAATAGTGGAAGCTGGCTCCCATGGCCATTGCTGTCCCCTTCTCTCTTCCCAGTCTGCCTTCTCGCCCCCTCCCGTGGCAGCTGTGCTAAACCTTCATCGCCATCCTCCAGTCTCTCATTCTACATGGACTTGCACAGAGGAAGCAGCGGGTACTTCCCGTTTGCTCCCTCCGCTTCTAAGTGTGTCCGTGTCGGCCGCACCTTGCTTTGTTGTTCTGTTCAGGGCTCCTTCCTGGCTCAGCTGCCCTGACCTCAACCCCCTCCCGACCCCACTCCCCACTCCCCACTCCCCACTCCCGGAGCCTTGCTGTGGCTCTTTCCCACACTTCTCTCACGCTTGTCACTGGTTTGCTTCTGTGGCCGACAGCCTTGGCCGATTCTCTCCCATTCTCAAACAGACTTCTCCTTAGGCTACCTCCCCTTTTTCCTTATAAACATGTTTTTCATCCATCACAAACTTTCTGCACACGTTGTTTGCTCTCTTTCTGCTTGCTTCGCCACTTCTGAAACTCCAACCCCTGGTCTTCCAGGGGCCGACTCTGTGCGCTTCCCAGCTCGGCCTGCCGAGTTCTTGGTAGCATCCGCCACAGTGACCGCATGCTGCTCCTGCTCTGTGGGGCGGTCTCCCCCGGGCTGTCAGGACAGGATTTTTCCCTGGTTCTCCCTCATCGCCTCTCTCTGCCTCTTCTCAGCCCCTCCGTGGCCTTCGTTCACTCTCCCTGTCCTTTTGAGCTGCCCCCTGGTTCCACCCTCTAGGCCAGCGGTTCTCAACCTGTGGGTCGCGACCCCTTTGGGGGTCGAACGACCCTTTCACAGGGGTCGCCTCAGACCATCGGAAAACACATATATAATTACATATTGTTTACAGTAGCAAAATTACAGTTATGAAGTAGCAACGAAAATAATTTTATGGTTGGGGGTCACCACAACATGAGGAACTGTATTAAAGGGTCGCGGCATGAGGAAGGCTGAGAACCACTGCTAGGCCCTTCCACTGCCACGTGTTTTTCTGAGAGCGCTCATCCACTGCTCATGCGTATGCCTCTCAATCCTGGATCTCACTGTCATTCAACAGTAGTTTTGAGGAGTTACTGTGTGCTAAGACCCAGTCATGTGTGACATATACCCAGTCTAGAGCTCTAGACCCATACATCTGGCAGTCACTCTGTTTTCTACGGCTTTAGGATATGTATCTGATTCATGGCTTATCTGAAACAAAGCATAAGTTTATTCTAAAGGGCTCACACACAGCCTTGCCCCACTGCATAGCAGCAGACAATGCCGCCGGCTCAGCTTCCGGCCTGGAGACCACAACCCAGGCCTGGTCATTTCACTTTCTTTGACTAAGGAGTGCAGGGCCACCCTCCAGGACAGCAGGGCCTGGAGTTCTAAGACTATAATTTAGTCCTTAGATATGTCCCTGCCTTTGGAACAGGAAGATATTGACAGAGTCACAAGCTGATGAGAATGGATGTGCAATGTGAGACTGGCAGAGGAAGTCAGTGCTGCCAGTAACAGTCCCTGACGTAGGTAACCGGCTATCCTGGGAGGGTGAGGCCTACACGCCTGGAGAATCGTACCAGGTGGATGGGATTCACTGTGAAACTGAGTGAATGCCGTGCCTTCCTTTCAGGAGTTGGGTTGGGCAGTTTAGGGAGGACAGAGCGAGCTTCCTCTCGCTGCCCGGCTCAGCCTTGCAGGGCCAGCGGCTCCCTGAACCGGCCTTACCTCTGCTTCAGAATCTGTTTGTTGTCTTCAATGGTCACGCTGTCAGCGTGGTCCCTCTTGAAGATTTCAAAGGCCTCCTGGCGTCCTAATGACATTTCCTCTCTCATCCCTGTTGGAGACACAAGGAAATGGCCTCAGTCACAGCATCAGGATCCCATTAATTTCATTGTCACTCTAGTCAGACCACAAAGGCGGCCCTGGCTCCGAGAGGCTGGCGGCAAGAGGCTCCGGACCAGACAGGTGGCCCCAGGCTCCTCCAGCCAGCCGCCCACCAGGGAGCCCTCGCAGCCACACCCGCTGCACCCCTCTGGCTGGGCCGTGCCTCCATGTGACTGTGGGGGGTGGGGTTTGGAATGTCTGGTCGAAGGAAATGAAAACCAGAGTGCCAAGCCCTCGATTGCCAAGAACATCTGCAAATACACTTTCTGCCATCATTCAGTGCCATATTTCTCCCTGTTTTCCTGTTCCTCCCCACTTGGGTTTTCTGTTAAATTTCATCCTGAATTTCCAGGCATTTAGTTAAAAGAAGTATAATTCAGACCGAAAGATTTCAAATCTAGAAAAGTCTGCTGTCTTCAGACCCAGCCTGTCCTTGTTTCCTGTGGCTAACGAGGGGCCCCTGACCTTCCTCAGAACTTATGTTTTCCGTGTAAGACCCATGAGCAGAGAGTGGTGCAGGGAGGTCCCTGGCTCATGTCTAACATCAGCATCCTGTGTCACTGTCGCCACTGCAGACTCCTCCTCCCTGCTGGGGCGCTCAGGGGCCTGATTCTGAAAGCCAGAGTCAGAAGGCCAGCGCCCTGGGAGTAGCAGGTGGCAACTCTTCCCACACCTCTCAGGGGGAGGGTCCATGCAGGTGTGTGCCTGGGACTCGAGGTGAGAGCTGAATTCACAGCTGTATTTTGATGAATCTACAATCATTTTTTATGCCTCTGCCCTTCATTCCTTTTTCCATGTTTTTATCCCTTTAATCCCACTTATCTTTGCAGCCCCAGCTGAGTGTTACCACCTCCAAGAAGCTCCCCAAGGCCCAGAAGGGCAAATCTTCCCTCCACCACAGACCCATCGATGCCTCTGAAACATGCACAGCCACAGATGCTGTCACTTCACATGACAGTTCTTTCTGGTGAAATGCAAGTTTCTCCGGAGATGGAGAGAATATTTTTTTGGTGAATCCTTGGTGCCTTGTTCAATGACTAGCGTTTAGAATGTGCTCAACATATGTCTGTTAAGTGAGTCGGGCCCAGATTGAACTGGGAGTGATGATGAGCCTTGCTTGTTGTCATAGGAACAGGGTCCAGGGCTACAGGGGTTCACTCTGAGGCCTAGGGTACCAGAGATGCATTCATATGGGCCACAGACCACATCTCCTGCCTGCAAAAACCTAGCCTCAGGGTGGGGAACTGGACCAGCCCATCTGACACCAATTTCATGATTGCTGTTGATAAAAATAGCACCATGGAGAATGTCTGAATGGTGAGGCACACAAAGACACCCCACCCTTTCCATCGCAGCGAAGGGGCACAGCACAGTTCCATCTGCACATCTGCCCTGCACACTCCAGAATTGGGGCGTGGCCTGGGGACGGGTTTATGAGAGACTCGGAAAGAGAAGCCCTGATGCACAAGCGACATTAACCAGGGGGCACTTTGCTTCCACCAGGAGCCAAGGGACTCACTCCATACCTCTCCCCTGCCCCTGGTCTGTGCTCATCCTAACAATGTATGTTTGCCTTTCACTGCCTAATAAGATAACAACAGGGGGGTGGAGGGAATGGGTCTCTCTGGAATAGAGGGGGTGGGGGAAGCTGCATAGAGGCCACATTGGAGCCTGCCAGTGGGGTCCCCAAAGTGCTGCCCAGAGAGGAGGAGAGCAGGCTTCCTGGGCAGTGGGAGCAGAAACGACATGGGGTACACAGCAAAGACAATCCAGGAAGGTTGGTTGGGATCATTTTTCAGAGAATCTGTAAGGTCTTGCTAAGAAATCTGGGCCAGTGTGATATCTTATTATATCATATTCCCTCCACCCCCTGCTGGTATTTTATTATATAAAAGTACAAATCAGTACTATTCAAAGATTTTTTATAAAGTTTAGTAAAGCACACATTATGGGGAAGTTGCATGGGAAGTGATTACTACTTTGAGTGAGTTAAGAGCACTGGGTCCTGCAGTGCTATAGGCTTATCGTCAGGAGCATGGTATTGCTTTTCCTCTTGTTGGAATGGAGAAATATTCTGGGATTGAGTTCTCTGAGGGTAGTGACCTCAGGTGGATGAGCATTAGTGTGATGGCCATCATCCGGGCAGTCAGCGTCCCAAGTGTCTGCTTAGAAAGGCCAAGGCGAGGGGGCTCATGATACCCATTGCCTGAAGGCAAAGAGGCAAAACAAGGCCTAGAAGCCTAGAGAGACTTCACTGCTGCCTCATGGAAGGGAGACTGAGTCCGCAGGGACGGCAATGGGAAGGACTCCCCAGGCAGCTGTATGTGAGACCCCAGGCTCTATCCCAGCCCTACTCTTGTCCATTTCAATCATGCTCATTTAGAGCTCATTTAGTCCTTTTGGGTTGTACTAATGGACCACTTCCTATTCTAATTTGGGGTCACCTGAAACGTTAATGAACCCCTTTTTATTTGCTGAAAAGATGTCTCCACCTCACTTTCCCTCTCAGGATTCCCTTTCTCAGATGACAAGCTCATGCACACATGGTGTGCAGAGAAAGAGCGGGGCAATGGAGCACAGGAGTGTCCACAGCCTACCTTGCTAATGAGATAATGAGCCTGCCTCTCACTTTAAATCAAAAGCTAAAGGTGATTAAGTTTAGTGAGGAAGGTATGTTGGAAGCCAAGATAGGCCCAAATCTTGGCCTTTTGGGCCGAACAGTTAGCCAATCACTTCCCATGCAACTTCCTCATAATGTGTGCTTTACTAAACTTTAATATGATATAATAAGATATCACACTGGCCTTCCAATGCTAAGGAAAAGTTCTTGAAGGAAACTAACAGTGCTGCTCCAGTGAACACATGGATGATAAGAAAGTGAAACAGCCTTACACCTGATATGGAGAACATTTTAGTGGTCTGGAGAGATGATAAACCAGCCACAACATTCCAATAAGCCAAAGCCTAATCCAGAAAACAAGGCCCTAACTCTCAATTCTATGAGGACTGAGAGAAGTGAGGAAGCTGCAGAAGTCTGAAGATGGCAGAGGTGGGTTTAAGGAAAGAGCCATCTCCATAATATAAAAGTTCAAGGAAAAGCAGCAAGTGCTGATGTAGAAACTGCAGCAAGTCATCCAGAAGAACTGGCTAAGATAATCAATGAAGTGGCTACACTAAACCACAGATTTCTAATGTAGATTAAACAGCCTCATATTGGAAGATGATGCCATCGAGGACTTTCATAGCCAGAGAGAGGTCAATGCCTACTGTCAAAACTTCAAAGGACAGGCTGACTCACTTGTCAGGGGCTAATGCAGCTAATGACTTTAAATTGAAGCCGATGCTCATTTACCATTCTGAAAATCCTATGCTAAGTCTACTCTGCCTGTGCTTTATAAATGGAACAACAAAGCCATCTGTTTACAACATGGTGTACTGAATATTTTAAGCCCATTGTTGAGACCTAGTACTCAGAAAAAAAAGATTCCTTTCAAAATATTATGGCTAGTTGACAATGCATTTGGTTACCCCAGAGGTCTGATGGAGATGTACAGCAAGATTAATATTGTTTTTATACCTGTTAATACAACTTCCACTTTATAGCCTATGGATCAAAGAGTAATTTTGACTTTCAAATCTTCTTACTTAATAAATCCATTTTGTAGGGCTATAGCTGCCACAGATAGTGATTCTTCTGATGGGTCTGGGCAAAGTAAGTGGAAAACCTTCTGGAAAAGATTCACCACTCATGATACCATTAATGAACATTTATGATTCATGGGAAAAGGCCAAAATATCAATATTAACAGGAGTTTGGAAGAAGTTGACTCCAATCCTCATGGATGACTTTAAGGGGCTCAACACTTCAGTGGAGTAAGCAGCTGCAGATGTGGTGGAAACAGCAGGAGAACTAGGATTAGAAGTGGAGCCTGAAGATGTGACTTAATTGCTGCAACTCGCATGAGAAGACTTTAACGAAGGAGCTGCTTTTTGTGAATGAGCAAAGAAAGAGTTTTCTTGAGATGTAATCTATACTTGGTGAAGATGATGTGAAGATTGTTGAAATGACAACAAAATTTTAGAATATCACACAACTTAGTTGAAAAAGCAGTGTCAGGGTTTGAGATGATTGGCTCCAATTTTGAAAAAAAAAAAGTTGTACTGCAGGTAAAATGCTGTCAAACAGCATCACATACTACAGAGAAATCGTTCATGAAAGGAAGAGTCAATCAATGGGGCAAACTTCATTATTGTCTCATTTTAAGAAATTGCCAGCCCCCCCAACCTTCATCAACCACCACCCTGATCAGTCAGCAGCCATCAACGCTGAGACAAGATGCTCCACCACAAGATCATGACTCCCTGAAGACTCAGATGATTAGCATTTTTATCAATAAAGTATTTTTAAATTAAGGTATGTACATTGTTTTTACTGACATAATTCTATCGCACACTTAACAGACTACTGTAGAGAGTAAACATAACTTTTATATACACTGGGAAACCAAAAACATTCATGTGACTCACTTTATTGTGATATTCGCTTTATTGCGGTGATCTGGAACCTAACCTGCCATGCCTCCAAGGTATGCCTGTATTACCTTCGTTAAACTTCTCCATGATCCATGGTCATGATTTCATTGTGCAGATGAGGAAACTGAGACTCAGTAAAGAAGTGGGTCTAGGGGTAAGATTCTCCCAGCTTTTAGAGACAGGCTAGTTCTCCTCTTTGATCAGTTTTTCCAAGGAGAGCATGCCCGACAGAGGGGAACAGGTGGTAGACCTCCAGATAACCTGGTGGTAGTTGATTTACCCATAAAACTATGCTCTTATGAGTGCTCATCTTGTCTAAAACTTTGAGCTTTCTTTATTGCATTACAGGGAAAACAGAACCATGAATTTTGTTTACTGTCTGCATAGTTTATTTCCTTTATTAATATGTTCTAAAATT